TAAATGAGCGGGTGAGACATAAACGAGATCGAATGTGAAACAGCGATTATTGAGGTGTCTTACGTAATGCATAATAAAGAAATTTTTATAACCAATTTGTTGTCAAATAATTAAGTATCTTTACTGTATATCTTTCGTTTGGATCATTCCCTGAGGCAACACGTCTGTGTTCATCCGGGATCAACTGCGCGCACTATGACTTAAATTCAAAAAAAAAAAAAAAAAAAAAACGGTTATTTTAGAAAACCAATAACAATGTAGAATAATGAGAGTACTTTACTATTGATGAGTTTCTTGTTTTTGAGAAACATATAAATACTCACACTGAAATCCACATTCCTTTCTTTTTTCATTAAAGCTAATTATTTCACTCCTTCGATATTTTCTTAAATTAGTGTTAGTCATGCCAGGTAACTGATCCTTTTTCCACCTTTTTCAAATATCGTTCTAATGATATTTGTTGTTTTTTAGCGGCACGTGTCACTGAACCACATAGTAACGCAGTCCTTCGTGTTGGAGAGTCGCATGTTATACAGTGGGTTAGTGCTTACAATTCTGCATTCGATTCTGCATTCTGAGTGTGTGCGGAAAATAATAAGGAATTTTAATTCAGGACACATCCTCGATCCCGACAATCACCGACATAGTGTCGGCGCATCTTTACAAGGGTTTTGGTTCTGACATACGACTCATCAAGACTATTCCGATCAATCGCAAGGCATCGATTGGATGTTCGGAGCCCTTTATCGTACCCGAAACTTCAAGGGGTTATGATTATTTTTTCAACCTGATTAGTAGCAACGGAGAAACCTTACAAAGTTATTATTTTAACATCGCGATCAACAAATAAGACAGGTGTCGCATTTCACGCGTGACAGAATATTCTTTTTTTGTGAAATTAGTCATTTTCTATTGGCGTGCCTTGCTATAGTAGTTTCTATTTTTGTCTATGATACGTATACAATTTATATTTCTCTTGTTGATTATTTCTAATAAACGAAGTTCGATCGTCGGACACCTTGATTATCGTGAGAGCCATCGGAGATACCGTGTTGCGAAGTTTGCTCTCTCCATTGATGCGAAGGCATGTGCCACAATTTTTTTTTTATTCTTAGTGAACCCTATGACCACCTGTGTCTATTCAAGAGGTGATAAAAAAAAAGAAAGAAAGAAAGAAAACGCCCAACCCCGACTGGCTTGCCCAGAAAGTCGAATAAAAAAATGGTGTGCTAATCTTGTGGCGGAAAAAATTACTTTTCCCAATTCGGATTATTACGTTTAAGTCACGTACTATGGATCTGATATCTTCCTCGCGTGATCGAAACGGGTCAAATTCTCATTGGTCGACCCAAGTAAATTTCCAAACATTTAAACATTTATAAATCATCCGATATCGTATCGTAGATCGAAAGTTACGCAAACAATGATTTAGGCGCAATCATATGTAATCCGTTCTCTTAATTTTTCGCTTTTTTTAATTTCACCATATTTGATAAATTTCAGTGAGAAAATTCTTATAGGTAGAACAGGTACGACCGCATATGATACATAAAACGTAATTCGGGGTCTATGATCTTGAAATTTGGTCAGTTCCTAAAACAGTGTGTGCTAATTTCCACATTTGGAAAAGGTTTAGAAAGTAAAAATAGGTTCCTCCATATTTCAAAATTTTCCTTATCTATAAATATAGGATCGGTTGTTGATCAGATTGTTTCTCTTGTTCTCTAGCAAGAATGGACGAACATTCGGTTCAAACTCCTCCGGAAAAAGCCTCCATCGAGGCTGCAATCAATAAGGAATTTGAAGATGTACAAACTCGAGTACACACATTTGACCCCAATGACCCTCCTGAGGCGAAAGCCGCACAGACCACACAAGGTGATGGTTCCAGCGTTCCAACCAAACCGGCTGCCATCAAAGAGATTATTTCAGACATTGATGACAAAACTGAAGAAGATAAGGTGACTTCACTTATGCCAGGAGCACTGGCTCCAGTGTCAATAGAGTCAGCGTCCGATATTCCGGATTGGGCACGTATAGGTTGGCAACGAGTGTCCGAGCTTGCCACCACCGACCCGGAGCACGATTTTTACGAAAGTATCTTGGGCGAACTGTATTTCGGAAATCTTTGGTTGAATGCCGGAGTAGTCTTCGTGGCTGTGTTTGCAACATGGATTACAACCTCACTTGGTGGCGGTTTAAGTTCGGCCATAATAATCTGTGCTTTTGTCGGTTAGTTTTCCCAAGAATTACGTTTCTTTTCCTTTTTTTTTTCTCTTTTCTTAACATTAACCGTTTTTGGAATCGCTTTTTTTTTTTTAGCGACATATTTCAAGCATTCTGTAGATAGATTTTATCGTAACGCGCGCAGCGACATTTCTCGGGAACTAGCAAAGGAAAAATTGGAGCTGGATACCGGCGAAGAATCCGCGGAATGGATAAACGAATTTTTACGTCGTTTCTGGTTGATATATGAGCCGGTGCTATCAGGCTCCATCGTACAAGTTGTTGATGGTGTATTGGCCTCCTCTACGCCATCTTTCTTAGATTCCATCCGTCTGACGACATTTACGCTGGGTACAAAACCACCAGTCGTTGATTCTATCAGGTCCTACCCAAAGACAGAAGATGATGTGGTGGTATGTTATCAATTTTAAAGTATATTTTCTTCGCAATAAATCATATTTTCGATATCACCTCCTCATTAAAATTGGCCTTTATATTGCGGGTCACAATACTGAACTCTAAAAGGTCATGGACTGGAAGTTTTCTTTTAATCCCAATGATCTTGCCAATATGACAAAGGTTCAAATAGCCAAAAAGGTCAACCCCAAAATTGTTCTTACGGTCCGTGTTGGAAGAGGGATGGTTGGAGCTGGAATCCCCATATTACTTGAGAACATGTCTTTCTCGGGATTGATGAGAGTCAGATTAAAGTTGATTAATACATTTCCGCACATTAAGACAATCGACTTGAGCTTTTTGGAAGAGCCACATATTGATTATGCCTTGAAGCCGATCGGTGGTGAAACGTTTGGATTCGATATTGCCAACGTATGTTGCTTGTCGCTATTCCCATTCTTCTTGCGCGTGTTCTTTAATCTTTTGTTTTCTTTTAGATCCCTGGATTACACCCATTTATCAAAGAGCAAATTAATGCCAACCTGCGACCAATGATGTATGATCCAAATCAGTTCACATTGGATGCTGAGTCTCTAATTAGTGGTTATCCCATAGGTAAGCGATATTTTCTCTATCCACCGCCTAACGCAATGATTCGCGCATTAATTTCAATTATTTGCACTTTTGAAAATTTCAGATAGCGCCATTGGCGTACTTGCGGTAACAATATATGGTGCAAAGGGATTGAAAAACTCTGAAAGGTTTGGTACGTCCGATCCATATTGCAAATTAACCATTCGCGGAGGTCAAGTGCTCGCGCAAACCAAAGTTATCAACGATTCGTTGGTCCCTGTTTGGAACGAAACGTTCTACTTGATTATAAACGCGCTGAGCGAAACTTTGAATTTCGAAATATATGATTCTAACGAGGTGACCAAGGACACTTTGATGGGAACTGCAACATTTCCTTTGTCAACTTTGGCCGAAAATCCTAAGCAGGAAGAGGTGTAAGTATTTATTTGAATTTTATACTTTACCACTTTGCTATCAATGCTGACGGGATAAACTTGATCATGATAGTACAGCTCCTGTGTACCTCAACAGTAAAGCATACGGTGAAATCAAATTTGATATGAACTGGTGTCCGGTCGCGGAACCCACAGAAACAGAACCGGCTCCTGATTCTAGTATGATTTATTTGTGTTCTTTTGGTGTCTCCGTTGAACAGATAGTTAATGAAAATAATCTTTTCTTTTCTCTCCCTCTCTCTTTTTTTAGACGTCGGCATATTGAGATTCACTATCCATCAAGCCAAAGACCTTGATCCTAAACGTTCGATGATTGGTCAATACAATCCGTATGCAGAAATATACTTAAATGGTAAGAAAGTTTATACCACAAAGGTCATAAAAAGGAATAATAGTCCTGTCTGGGAGGTAAGATATTAAGAATTCATCAACTATTTCCCCTGTTTGTTCTTGAAAAATTTCCCATTATTGCACCAGTTTATTGAATCCTTTGTAATTTAAAGGAACCCGTTGAATTGTTTGTTACAGACAAGGACGGAGTTGAAATCTCCGTTAGAGTCTATGATGCTCGTGATCTTGCAGTCGATCCTGTTGTTGCCAGCTGGACAGGAAAATTGAGTGAATTTTTATCATCAAAGAACGATTGGTTCAAGGTACAGGATGCGGCTGGTAAATTACGAATGAGCTGCATTTGGAAGCCGATATTGAATGATGGTAGTCTGAATTTCAATGTTGGTGCATATGGTGAGCTGTTAAATGTCTGCTTAAGCCACAGTAACGCTTGGAATCTTTAAGACGACGATCAATGTATTGAGAATTTTTTTTTCTTTTCAGTCAATCCAGTTGGTGTTGTCAGACTCCACATCAAGAAAGCTGTAGATGTCAAATCTTCAGGACAACTCGGAGGTTAATTGTTATATTATTGCTTTTATCACTTTGTTTTAATATTAAAAGCTGTCTGATTTTTGATAATGCAGGAAAATCCGATCCATATGTTTCCATTAAACTTAATAATGTTTCTCGCGGTAGAACTGAAATGGTTCCGGATACTCTTAATCCCGAATGGAAGGATGAAATATTCTACATACCGGTGCATGCTGCTAGAGAAATTATTAACATCGAAGTCTGGGATCACGAAAACACAGGAAAAGACAAACTATTAGGGTCAACTGAGCTCAAAGTAAGCCAATTAGCCAAACAAAACGAAGATGGCACCTATTCGTCCACAGATGCACTTGATACGTGAGTAAAAGGCATTTTTAACATATCGTTGCGTGTGTGTTTGTGTACTTGCCTTTTCAAAATTGGGAAATATTTTTCTTTTAATCTTAGATCCGCTCCATTGTACATTAACCGAGAAACTCGAGGTAATCTATATTTCACAGCCAGCTTTCATCCAATAATACCACCACCGGAGGTTGCATCAGAAGATAAAAAAGGAGATGAGGTCGAAGCACCGAAAACTGGATCAGGTGATGAAATACCAAGAGTCGTTGTCGATAACGCAGAATATCGTAAGTAGAATAACATTTTTATATTGGTTTGATCAAATTCGTTAAACTTTATTCTTTTCTTCAGAATCCGGAATCTTAATAATTACCCTTAAGGAGGCCAAAATGGAAAAAAGGGGTGGTTTTGTTGATGTCTTTATCGATAATGCGTTATTCCCATCTTATACTTCAAATAAATGCAAGGAACAAAATCCAGTGTGGAATCAAGGTACACAAATTTATTAATGTTCTTATGGTTTGATTTTACGCATTTGAAAGTTATTCACAAACAAAAAAATTTTTTTTTTTCTTACAATCAAGTCTTTGATGTTTTTGTCAAGGAGTTGGACTGGGCCAAAGTCACCTTTAATATTAGACAGTTCACCGACAAAAATCCGATTGGCACTGCTATTGCGAATGTAAATAGTTTGATTGAAAAATGCAAAGAATCACCAGAGGGCGTTGCACTCAATATCGATGGAATCTCAGACGGATTGCTCTACCTGAATGTAAAATATGTACCGGTGGATTATGTATTGGATCCTGTAGAGTGCGTCGAGAGTACGTCTTGTTTAGTTTTGTCGCGATCGACCAGTTTTCAAATAACATTCTCAATTGGAACATTTTGTTTTCTTTTTCAGACATGGGCACGTTAAACGTTAAGGTCAAAAATGCCGAAAATTTACCGGCTGTAGATCGAGGCGGTAAATACTCATTTTTTCTGGGATGGATGGATTATGGAATAATCTTCATTGAATTTTAAAAAAATCTGTTACACATGACTATGAACCGTAGGTACAAGCGATCCATACATCCAATTTTTATTGAACGACGAAAAGATTCACAGGACAAAGACCGTAAAGAAGGATTTGAATCCTGTATTTGATGAAGATTTTACCGTCATAGTGGTTGGTATTGATTTTCCTTCGCTTAAGCATTTTACTTGTTCGCGTTCGCTAATAAGTTATTTGAATCATCCAGCATTCTCGTATTGGAGATAAATTCGTTTTGGAGGTGTATGATTGGAATCAAGTAGGATCCTCCAAAAAACTTGCTCATGGTCGTTTGGATCTCTCGGAACTAAAATCCTTTGAAGCGGTCGAAAGGAAGGTCCCACTGACCAATAATGAGGACGGATCCAAGGCCGGCTCTGTTAACTTGCGCCTACGTTTCGAACCACAATTGGTCAACAAGAAGAGATTACCCACTGGTACGTTTGCTGGTGCAACAAAAACAATCACCGGAATTGGCACGGGAGTGATTTCGGGTGGGGGAAACGTGGTAAAAGGAGGTGTAGGAATTGTTGGTTCAGGTGTCAACCTTGTTGGTTCCGGAGCTAGTAATGTTGTTGGAGCCGTTGGTTCTGGATTTGGCATACTAAAAAAGAAGGACAAGGATAAAGAAGAAAAGAAAAAGGTTGAGGAAGAAAAGGTTGAGCCAGCGACAAGAAGCATTAATACAAAGACGAGTGAGACGAGCACACAGGAAAAACCTCCAAGCGTCGAAAACAATGGTACTTTACACATTATTTTAATTATCTTCTTTTTTCTCTGTTTATACGTCAACGTTCACCCTTTATCTCATCTAGGTGTTGTTAAAAATTCGACGTATAACGTTAGTGAGTCTAGCGGTATGAATTTAAAAGTTAATTAACAAGTAATTGCGCTCATAATTCTTAAGCGGACTTTTTAACCTTCTTGATAAATATCTCTCGACTAGAAGCAGAGTCAACGTCGGAATCAGGAAGCCTGAGATTGACGATCATCGAGGCAAAAGATTTGATTGCAGCAGACAGTGGGGGTAAGTACATCGAAAAAAAAAAAAAAAATCACAATTGAGAAGTAATTATTGATTCTAATAAAAGGAATTTATTATTTGTTTAGGTACGAGCGATCCATATGTCAAAGTGAAGTTTAACAAAAAAGATATATATAAAACGCAAACCATAAAGAAAACCGTGAATCCTAAATGGTAGGAATGTGTTCATAATTGAATCGCCATGCCGATTCACTGTTTTATAATTAACAATTGGTTTTCTTCTTATTCAGGGATGAAGTAACGCAAATTCCAAACTTAAATGGTTCTATTCATTTATCGGTCAAAGATCATAACAAGATGGGTAAAGATGTGGACATTGGCGAATATGATTTAAACATCTGGGATCACATCCAACCATCAACCTCCGATTACACGAAAGACATATGGGTAGACTTATCTAAAGGTAAAAATGGTAAATTACATCTTAAACTGGAATATATACCGAAGGGCGGCAATGGAGATTTGTCGAATTCAAGATTTTCAGGTGATAGTGACCGGGATTCCTCGGAGGGAAATCGATTTAAGCTAGGTTTTCGTAAGCTTAGGAGCTGATCTGTGTGCATAAATGTGAGCTTAGTTGGTAAATTGATTTAATTCAAAAATCCGCTACTTACTGTCGGTTCGAAAGATCTCCGATTGATCAAAAAATATCATATTTGGATAATCTGCACAATCTTATTTAAAAAAAAACAAAAATACTTTTTTTTTACTTATTATTAAAATATGTACAAATTTATTCTGGATTGACTTTTTTAGAAAAGTAATGAATGAATTCTTTAAAAATATATGCAATACACATATATTTTAAGGAATAAAAGTTATTTGTAAATTTGATTGTAAAGCTAACCTAAATAAAAATATGTTCAATATATACACATATTGCTAATTAATTTTTTGTGAGTTCCATTGGTTCACCCAACAAAAACTTTGCCTCAAAAGAAAAAAATATTTTATGAATAATAGCCAACTCATTCAATTCATCCGGTGAATCAAAGCCACATGATTAGAAGTATTGTTAAGTTAAGAAATCATTTAACCAGACTTTTTATCATAGTTTATTCATCCATTTTTATTATGGTCAGGATGTTGTGCTTTATTTTTTTAGCTTTCTTCCGGGTGATATCTTGCATTTTTTACTGTTGATGCAACTCCTCTATCGATTCGTTGTTTTTACATAATGCAGGCTTAAAACGTGGAAACCCTAAGGTTATCCCAGATCAATATATATATATATATAATTCCGAGAAGTAGGTTTCACCCTCGATTTTTTTTTTAATCCGAGTTCCTGTATGGCCTTCCCTACATAAAATACAGTTGGTAAATTTCAATGTCATGTGCAAATTATTTTGACGTCTTAACAATAAATTGAATGCCAATTACCAATTCTGACAGAATGCATTGGTTTTCTGCGTTTACAATGACAAAGACTTGTCCCGTGAGATTCCTGATTCTTCAATCGTTTCTTCAGTGATCTCATCAAATTCCCGTTTCTCCTCAACTGCATCCGTGTTATCGTTTTCATTTTCATTTAGAGAAACTTCGTTTTCCAAAGAACCCTTTTGGTCCATTGACGATGGCGAAGAAAACAAATCCAATATTCTAGAAGCATCTATATTCCCCTGGGGGCTATTCCTGTTAATATAAAAGCCTGAAAACCGGGGTTTATATCTATGGGGTGGTGGCTTATTATAAACGGCTATGTGAGAAACAATAACTTTGGTTAAACACCTCGGCAACAAAAACCCAGTACACCGCGTGACGGAATACCTTCGTGAATCGATTCTTCAAATTTAATATCGAACGATAGGGGCTCAGGTAGGGATAAAGTCTCGGATGAAAGTAGTTTTTTAGATATTTCGTTGTCCTTATAGCTGACCCAGCCAAATTTTAGGATTTTTTTGTTTTCTGTATCCTTGCGTATTTGTGAAAAGAATAAGGTATGAATGTGGAAGAATAAACGAAAAACCGAAAACCTCCACTTGTTCGAAACCTTTGATAAATACCCTCCCAAATTTAAATTCTAATAACGGCCCGATTTTATCGAAATATGAGAATACCGCCTTTGATTCGGTTAAACTTTTGACAGTCCTCGGATTGGTTGTGAAGTAGAGACGAGCCGGCCTTAATAGTTTTGTTGTTGCCATGCTTGAAAATCTAAAAAAAAAAAAAAAATTACATGCAAACGACACAAACTTGGATTTTTTTATGCATTCATGTGTTTATTTGTGATTTGTGTCACGATCATTTTAATTAACATCATTTTTCGCGGGTTTTATTCAAACCCATAATCATTTCATGACGCAAATCTCACTAACCCCGATGAATTCTAGTCCCTCTTCACCGACCGCGAACGGTTACATTTCTTTTGAAACCGTCAGAAACTGGAAAACCGAGCACGTTAACATTTGGCTACAAGAAAATAATTTTCCAGAGTATCAACAACTTTTCGCAGGTATTTAAGAAATATTAAATGGTAGCTTTCAAAGAGGCTCTGCAATACTTACGATCCTTTTCCCCATTTAAATCTACTCTTCATATACTCAAGAGAATGATATCAACGGCGATGTGCTCTTAGAGCTAGACTATAATGAACTTAAAGAAATGAACATCGACTCTATAGGCGATCGAGTCAGGATATTGTCGGCGGTGAGAAATTTGCTAAAAATATGTGCAGAGAGCAATCATCCATATTATATGTCTATCAATTATTCAAAGGTCAATATACAAAACTTTCCTTTTGCTTATCATGTTTTCCTCGACAACAACGATTACGAATTTTAGCAAAATGCCTTTTTAGGAATTATATTCTCCTGAACTGGATAGATTCCCGATGACGCTGTCACGATCTGATTCCAATTCTCAAAGGGTTACTCGCATCAACTCAATTAATAAAGGAAGCAACGGAAGGCCCAAGTCTCCGCAGCATGTTAAGGTTTGATTTATTTTTTTTCTCATCATCTTCATATTAAGGTGTATTTTTGTTTGGAATGCAAAAAGATGACGTGACCTAGGATAAAAAGTTTTTTTCACTTAAACGCGACATAACTTTTTTTTTTCTTTTTTTTTTTTTTTAAAAAAAAAAAAATCAGCATTGTATAAAAGTTATTGGAGAAAATCAAACGCGAAATATTACCATAGATGACGTTAGTGATGCTGAATCTATTTTGGCTAGGGTTTTGCAAAAGTTTAATATCAACGAAGATGTCGAAAGATATTCATTATTTACTACTAGCGAGACCGGAACCGGTGAGATGCCAAGAGTCCTATTCGCTATACATGTATGTTTGGAGATCCTCCGGACCTTCGCTCATTTGTTGTTATTTATTCTACGATCTTGGGTAATGATAAATGACAATGCTAGCGCGAAGTTTGTCCGACGACGAATTGGTGGAAATCTGTAAGAGCGCGGACAGGCCCGAGCGAGATAGATTGATTCTGCGGAAAAAGCATCAACCGATAAGTCACGAAGAGATAAAGAAGCGAAATCGGGATAAGAAATTGGCAAATTTCTTTGGAGAAAAGCCACCAAGCACGTCGCAAGCACCACAAGTGGGGATATCACAGAAAAAACTACGAAACTTTTTCGGACAACGACCTCCATCAGAATTAATTTCATCAAATTTGACCGAATATTTCCCTGGTCATGTTAGCGAGGAACTGGAGCGTAGTGCAAGGAACTCTATCAGAAGAGCTTCAAGAATTTCGGCTGCATCTAGATATTCAAAAACAAGATCTAAACGCATATCTAGACTTTATGATGACGACGATGGAGGTAACAGTAGGTTAAATACTTTATTGGCTCCTCCGACTGATGATTCTAAATCGGCCATCCTGGAAGAAGAAGCTGAGGAAACAGATGAATTTGATGAATTTGACGGATTTGAAGAGGTGGAAGAAGATTGGTCTCCAACCCAAGAAGACGGTAAATGGTTATTTTGTCATTAATTTTCAATGAGGATTCTAAGTAAACTTCCATTTTTACTGTAACCAGAGAGTTCGTCTCTCAAATGGATAAAGGGTTCCCTTATTGGCATGGGTTCTTTTGGTAGCGTATACCTCGGACTTAACGCCATCACCGGTGAATTGATGGCGGTTAAACAAGTAGAGTTGCCCACGGGACAATCTGCACATGAAGAACGCAAGATATCAATGGTAAGTGTTTTTATAAAACTTGTTTCCCTGTGTGATCCTGAGAAAACAAACCAAGATTCTTAAAATCCAACGAACATCACATTAGTTGGACGCCCTGCAACGAGAAATCTCACTATTAAAAGACTTGCATCACGAAAACATTGTGCAATACTTAGGTGTGTAGTCACGCGATGTTCCCTTAGTTGATATCATTTACTTGATTCTAATGAACCCCTCGATTATTTTATATCAGGCTCACAACATGACGAAAAAACTCTAAACATTTTCTTGGAATATGTTCCCGGTGGCTCGGTCGCTACAATGCTCAACACTTACGGCCCATTAGAAGAAACGTTAATTCGATCATTTGTACGACAAATTTTGCAAGGATTAACTTACCTCCATGATAAAGAAATTGTTCATCGTGATATCAAGGGTGCCAATATTCTAGGTAAGGTATTCCATTTGTATAGCCTGGATGCCTCGTAGCTGCCATGTTTCCGGTCTCGAAGCTTACCGAATTTCATTTTCAAAACTTACACAAAGTCGACAACAAGGGTGGAATAAAGATATCTGATTTTGGTATCTCGAAAAGGGTGGAAGACCGTAAGTCGCTCGTTGATCGCATTTCTTTTTTTTTTTTTTTTTTTTTTCACTCATTACACATACCTTATTGTATCTTCGTCGACATTAGAATTTAGGGCAGCGCAGAGGCCATCTTTGCAAGGCTCCGTGTTTTGGATGGCTCCCGAAGTAGTAAAACAGACAGCCTACACATACAAAGCCGATATATGGAGTTTGGGATGTTTAATAGTTGAAATGTATACCGGTGAACATCCGTTCCCAGAGTTCAATCAGATGCAGGCAATGTTTAAGGTAATCGATTTTAATTTGTATTACTTCGTCCAAAATTTAAATATTTACTGGAATCCTTGTGCGTGACAGATTGGAACACAATCTTGTTCGCCTGAAATTCCCGATGGCGTTTCTAATGAGGCAAAAGACTTCTTAAAGAAAACCTTTGAATTGTGAGTATAATTACTCTTCGTTATGATCTGTTGTTGAATTGTTTTCTCTTTTTAATGATTATAAAAATGAATCAGAAATCACGACGATCGACCCACAGCCAAAGTGCTTTCGGCGCATCCATTTGCCTCATCAACTTCAGTTAAATCTAGCTCGGTCTCATCACCATGATATTTGAATTCATTTTCCTTGCTATTAAATTAGTACATCATTATTTATTTTGATATTTCTTTTTCTTTACGTAAATGGAAAGTTTGGTTGTCATTTGTTCGTAAATGCAAGGTTCAGTAATGTTAATATAATTTGAATTAACTAATTTTCTATCAATACTTTCTCTACATTTAATAATTTGCATTTAGAACTCGCAATAACAATAAACTCACGTATAAAAATCTGTCTTTCGATATACATTGCAGAGAAAGGAAAGTACAAAATAAAAAGTTTAAAATTATCATAATTTCTATAATTATTCAAATACGCGTATTTTTTTTTCCTATATAAAATAATAGAAGGTAGCATAAATTTTATTTTATTTTATTTTATTTTTATTTTATTTTTTTTTTGGGGGCTAAGTGCGATACACGCGAGATTTTATTATATTTTATTTTATTTTTAATGTTGAATCTTTTGAATAAAGTAATGTAATATGTAATTACATATTTTAACTTTGAACATTTTTCATTTTTTTATTTTTTAGTTTATATTTTTCTTAAATTAATTAATTGTCAAAATTGAAAACAAGTTATAGAAACTTATTTTATTTTTTTATTGTGTTAACAAATACAGGTATTAAATGTAAGATATTTTTTATAATAGAATAGGCATTAGATGCTTATTATTCATTGATATAGATATGATATAATTATGCTAAACATTATCTATAATATTAGATTACAACTTGATGCTAACCTATCCGACTTATTGTTAATTCAATGTGATTTGCATTTTTTAAGTGAATTATATTTTTGGAAGAAACCTATTTAAGAAATAAAAATTCTTAAATATAGGATATCTTATTAATATAGTTAATTATATTATTATATTACATTTTTTATATTACTTATATAAAGATAAACTAATATTATTAAACTAATAAATATCTAAATACATATTAACATAATTAATTATATAAACCCATATCAAATAAATGATTTTTATATTCTAAGCAAAACTTATATATAAAAAACAAAAATCCTATTACTGCTTTGTTTTAATTATATAATTTATTATTAGATTAAATATTAATATTTATTATAAACAAACCATATATAAAAATTATTATAGAAATTAATTTAAAATTATTTTTATGAAATAAATAAAAAATGATACTTTTTTTTCTACTTTAAAAAAAAATAAATAAATAATAATAGAATTCATATTTAATTATATTTATATTTATTTATATTATATTATATAAATAAAATTTTAAAGTTTGTAATATATTATATATATAAATTAAATATTTGTTTATTTATTATAATTATCTAATTAATATTTTTAGAAAACATGATTTGTGAGAAAAATCAATAATAAAAAATTAATATCCTTTTGATTAGAAGTTTTTAAATATAAAGTTTTAAAAAATATTTTTCTGAAAATATACTTAAATGTTTTTTGATATCATTACTTTAATAGAAATTAAATAGTTTAAAAAAAATATTAGTTCAAAATATTGCTGAAACTCTTTCCGCTGATCCCTTTGCCAACCCAAAAAACAAACATTCTTAAAAATAATTTTTATTTTTGATAATAAAGTCTATACACTTTTCTTAAAAACATTACTTCCTGAAGGCAGGTACCTCCTTCACTTGTTTACTCTTCCTTCTTCAAAAAACTTTGGATATTTCAGCAACAAAATAAACAAAACTTTACCCATTTTATTTACGGTAAGAATACCTTACTGGGAAGAAGAAACCTATAGAAAAATACCCTCCACTATTTCTCCTTAGATCAGGAACTTTAGAGAAGTGAACCACTAGTGAATATATTTCCCAAGATCTATAAGAACCTTGGGTCCACTGTAAGCAAACACCTTGGGTTAAGACGGGTGGATAAGCTAGTTGGGCCTATCAGTGAATATACTCCCAAGTAATATTGGATCCACTGTAAGTAAACTCCTTGGTCAGACAGATGGATAAGTTGATAAGAATTTACTATCCAGGTATATGAATCTTTCCACCATTCATACATGTCTGTAGATAGCATTTTCGAGCGTGTTCAATTTTTCTTGATTTTTCTGGGGAATTTTGCCTATCTCAGTTTGATTCTGAATTTTTTGTTACACTGAAAACTCCGGATGGTGATTGGCTGAAATCTTGGATTGATTGATCAATAAGTAAAAGAAATGTAAACAAGACACATACCCACACGTGCTCTGCGTCGTATCACATTATAACCGATGATGTAATTGAATAAAGCAAAAGAGCAAGGTGTCGAGGTGTCCTCTTGATAAGAAGTGTTTGGAAGTCTTCCCTCTCTCCTTTTGTGCTGGTTTCTTTTTTCCTCAAGGTTAAAGAAAGCTTTCATTAGACTAGTGATTGGTTTTGGTGAGGTTTTTATTTTACCAGCACAAACTTTTCTCCTTTTCCTTTATTCTTCCCTTTTACCTTCTCCAAAAAATAAAAATTTTTATACCTTAGAACTACAGAGATTAAGTTGGGGTGAACAGTTTTGAGTGAAGGGCTGGTAATGAAATGGAGATTCACAAGAAACATGGGTCAAAATAGAGCAACTTTATTCATTCCCTTTAATCACATTTAGAGGCCAGTGGCTGTTGACAGGTGTACCGTATAATGAAAGAAATTTAACCCTTAGTATAGATTTGTTAGACACTTTGTATCTATCCATTTGTACTTCGGGTCAATCCAAATATATTTGTTTAAATAAAATTAAAATATATGGCCTGATTAGGTATAAAAAAAAAAAAAAAAAAAAAAAAAATTAAATAGTTTGACTAATCACAAGTATTGAGAAGTAAGTATAACAGTAATCATAAAGGCTTGGATTTTTATTCACAATAATAACCTTTTCAATAATAATTAGAATAGATAATAGTTTTTTTTTACTTTTAGTTTCTTTTTTTTTTAATATATTTGTACTATTTTTTTTTTCCTAAAATTCTTTTTTTATTCCTTTTTTCTTATATAGTTTTTGCAAGAGGAGATTAACACAATTTGGATTTATAGTTATAACTGTAAAGATGATTTGTAGATTTTGATACTATTGAAAACTTTAAATATTAATCCTATTTATTAAAGAAACAAAATATTACTTTCATAAATTATATTTAAAGGTTTCGACTGTTAATAGATAAGTTAAATTGAAAAAATTTATATTTTACTTATAATTTTATACTTGTAATGATTCTATAATTTAATAAATAAATAATACTAACCTAATTATGAATTTTTAAAAAAAACAATTATCTAATTAATATTTTTTTTCTCTAATCAAACTGTTATTAGTGTATTTATTAATTTATTTATGGAAAACAATAATATAATATACAATTAATATAATTAATACTATACTAAAAATAAACAAATCCATATAATAGAATATCTGTTAATAAATTGTTTATAAATTTGTATATGATTCTTGAATCTTTAATCTCAAAATTATCATGTTGTCCATATAATCTAGCTATTTACTAATTATTTTATTATAAAAAAATAGATTCATTAAACTTTCAAAGCAAACTTTGGAATTTGGAACTTCTTATATTAATCAAACTATATCAAAAAAACAAAACCACATATCCAAATGAAATATATATATTCTGCAAACAGAAAAAGAAATCAACAATGTATCCATTCACTTGTGGATAACAAAAATATGATATTTAATAACAAATAATCAAAATCTTAAATGAAAAAATCAGCTTACACAGTATTAAAAAAACAAAATATCAACTTTTTGCAAAACTTCAAACACATTAATTTTTTGAATACTGAAACCCTAAATCTCAATATCAGAGGAGCAATTACATATAATTGTTACAATTATACAAAAATATATTGATAACAAGAACACCTAACAATGTATCACAAGTTACTATAATAGATTATGAAAATACCTATTAACAGTATAGATAACAAGATATGTCAAATTCTCCCAATAGAAAAACTACAAAAAATAACAAAAAAAACAAAAAAGATTCTGGACATCAATCAAGAAATCCAAAATAGAAATTTTCACTAATCAAGAGATTAAGAACAAATATTTATATATAGTTAATAAATACATGATCAATTATATCAAATACTTATCTAACATAGAAGAAATATTCATAACTAGTCTTTATTTCAAAGGTATTGATAATATCTTGATGGATTAGTCATTTTAAAGAAATTCTAATGTTTTGTTTTACAAGACAGACAACAAGCTATATGGTGAAACAATCCTAATAAGTTTACTTTATATTTTAAGAAAATTATTGATTTTTTATAATTTTTTGCATATATATACAATTGTATCTCAAACAATTATTTTAATAAAGTTAAACAAGGCAAATGCCTACCTATTTAAAAAAAAAAATAGATGCATTAAACTATTACTATATAATATTAACTATCTTAGATTTTTCAAATCTTAACTCTTTATATTGTTGACGTCTCTCTCGGCGAGTCTGTCGCTTCTCCTAAGCAATCCTCGCGTTACGTCAGGTAAGGTTTTTGGGCTTCTCTACTCGAGGCATGTGATTTTGTTTAGCCGAGTTTTACTAATCCTTTCC